TTTTGAAAACAAGTGGAGTGCACGCTGTTCGTTATTTTTTAACTTATCGCCAACAAGTCACAGACACCTACTGTAGAAGAATCCTTAGCCCAACACACCCATATATTTACTTACTATGTATACTATAAAAAGTAATTATCTGATACGCACCCCAACCATGAATATTGTTTGGAACGGTTAAAATAACGTTTTACTTTAACATATAGCTGAATTACATTATTATTTGTTGACATATCTTGTACTGCAGTTATCTGTCTTGTAAATTATTTCGGAGAGAGGGCACCGTGTGCGTTGAGTGTTATTTGATATGCATTAGTGTCGTTTAATGAAATCTTGTTATCAATTTTTCAGTTTTGGAATCAGATATATAGTTAGATATATAGCACAGTAAGTGATATTTTTGGGAGTTTCATAGTCTCTTCAATGAGTCAATCAAAAGTCTATTATCAGAGAAACAACCTGATTCTGTTGCCTAAAAACTGCGTAGTTAAGCGTGAGTCCGGTATCAAAGAAATAATTTATGTAGCCTAGAAACGGCGTAGTCTGGTAATAAACCAGTTTTTCATATCAATACACAAACTGTTCATGGTTGTTTTGATTGGATCAGCGTAACAATATATAGTCGCCCAACTATCAGCTACTTACTCAGTGTCAATGCTAAACAAAGCTTTAGCCTCTGGAAATGCAGTAACTAATAGTACTAGCATAATCCATCACAGTAAGGATGTATCTATTCTTTCCCCCAGCCATGGGTTTTAATGGGCCTGCTTAACCCACCTCATCTTGCCAAATGGGATGTCAGTCAATGGCACAGGCTGTAATGATACTATCGGCATCCGACTTTTAACAACTGTTCTCTGACATATATCGCATGACTGGCAATACTTTGTCACTTCGTTATGAATTCCTAGCCAAAAATTATAGAGGATGTTATCAAGAGTTTTCTTTAACCCAAGGTGTCTTCCAAATAACACCTCATAAACAACTCTCATAACCTTATCTCAAAACTTCTTTGGCAACACCAACTAGCTTATTATTTTGTTTTTCGCCATGGCCATCACATCCATCTCAGAAGCTTCCACTTGTATATATATATATATATATTTTTTTTTTCAGCCATAGAAGTAACTCAGGTAGCAACTCTAGTCACTCCATTTCAAAAAGTTCTATATTTATATAATCGCTCCCTATATATATATTTATGAAAATAGAATTAAATGAAGTAGCATGGAAAATATAATTACTATTTAATTAGGTCCATTATCATCAAATACGAAAAAAATACTTTTCTTTCTTAACATTTTATTTTTCATTAATCATCTCATAAAATAAGTATGTAATTTACATGTGTTACACTATGTCTAAATAGTCCAGACGATCGATCGCATGTGCCAGGTTTGTGTTTTGCATATATGGGCTCTTGAATCTCTCTGCGTGCGCGCGACGTTCAGCCAAAATCACAGACTAGGAAACACTACTGAAATCGAATGTGAAGTGTAGCGGTACCTGTTTGACAATCAGCTGGTTCTTTGAGTTTGCAACATTTACAATATGCAAAGCTTGCTATCGGTAGTTAGCAGTACCACGATATTATCATACTAATGTTTTGAGTAATTCGAAGCGCAAACACACAAAAAAAGAGTATTGTGATTTGTAAGTAGTCTTTTAATAAGTAGGAAAGAACAAACGCCTTAATTACCTGAAACATTATAACTTGTCTAAACTAAAATAATATAACTAATTTTATGTAATTCGTCTCTCATAATTTTGCTGCAGTAAAAACTAAAATCTGAATGACAGTATTTTTATATTAATTTTAAATATATTCGTATATTGGTCTAGTGCAAAATAAGTGTGTACGTTTATAGTCTGATAATTTGGGCTGCGTACATTGATTACCTCACTGTGTAACGTAACCCTAAAAGTAGAGAAGTGGAGAGGAGATGTAGTTCGTGTAGAGTGACTTTCGAATCGCTTGAAATTTTCTGTTTGACCATTTGAATAAATTCTGAATCCACTTTTTTTTGGTGTGTGGAAGGGGGGGGGGTTGAGACATCTCTGATCTAATGCTAGTAATGGGGGCCAAATCTAAAATTGGATGGGTATTAGCTTGGGGGGGGGGGGTGAGACATCTCTGATCTAATGCTAGTAATGGGGGCCAAATCTAAAATTGGATGGGTATTAGCTTGGGGGGATGCTGTCCTCTCACTAGCCTTAACCTTTATTTGAATAAGCATTATAAGAATATTAATTATCCCATACAAGTAATGATATAATGGAAGTCCTTTAGTTCGTATAACCTATACAATTAAAAATATCAGACATTGCTATTTATATGTTTTTGATTGTGTTATTATTGTATGTTCTGCATTTTCACAGAGCTTGTAGATTTTCCAGCACTTTACAAATTATAGGAGTTAAAGAGGGGAAAGGTGGGTTTAACTTCTTACTTTTTACAAGGACTGGTGTGAAAGGACAGCCTTGAAGGCCCAAATGTTCCCTTGTTGTTTATAGGTTATATTATTTGTTAGTATGGAGAGAAAACTTATCCCATTATTTTGCTTGTTAAAACAAGGTGTTTTATGACTTTATTTTGAAAATATATATTTGCATGTTTTCATAGTTCATAATAATATTCTATAGAATGTTTGGGATTCAGGGTATAAAAAGAAAGAAGATATGCTCATTAGCATTTTCTATATCAGGTTGTAATACTTATAAAAAAAAAAA